ACTTCTCCATTGAATCTGAATGAGATGCTTGTCAGGTAGAGTAATCTTGGTTGTAGGTTCTTCCCTTTCATCACTTTAAATATGTCATGCCACTCCCTTGTGGCTTGTAGAGTTTCTGCTGAGAAATCAGCTGTTAACCTTATGGGAGATCCCTTGTATGTTATTTGTCGTTTTTTCCTTGCTGCTTTCAATAATTTTTCTTTGTCTTTAATTTTTGCCAATTTGATTACTGTGTGTCTCGGCGTGTTTCTCCTTGGATTTATCTTGTATGGGACTCTCTGCGCTTCCTGGACTTGGGTGGCTATTTCCTTTCCCATGTTAGGGAAGTTTTCGACTATAATCTCTTCAGATGTTTTCTCTGGTCCTTTCTCTCTCTCTTCTCCTTCTGGGACCCCTGTAATGTGAATGTTGTTGAGTTTAATGTTGTCCCAGAGGTCTCTTAGGCTGTCTTCAATTCTTTTCATTCTTTTTTCTCTATTCTGTTCCACAGCAGTGAATTCCACCATTCTGTCTTCCAGGTCACTTATCTGTTCTTCTGCCTCAGTTATTCTGCTGTTGGTTCCTTCTAGTGTATTTTTCACTTCAGTTATTGTATTGTTCATCTCTGTTTATTTTTTTAATTCTTCTGGGTCTTTGTTAAACATTTCTTGCATCTTCTCGATCTTTGCCTCCATTCTTTTTCTTAGGTCCTGGATCATCTTCATTATCATTATTCTGAATTCTTTTTCTGGAAGGTTGCCTATCTGCACTTCATTTAGTTGTTTTTCTGGGGTTTTATCTTGTTCCTTCATCTGGTACATAGCCCTCTGCCTTTTCATCTTGTCTGTCTTTCTGTGAATGTGGTTTTTGTTCCACAGGCTGCAGGATTGTAGTTCTTCTTCTGCTGTCTACCTGAATAGTTTCTTTTTCCTGCAATTTGCTTTTTATTTTTCATTTATTTATTGAATTTTATTTTATTTTTTATACAGCAGTTTCTTATTAATTATCTATTTTATATATATTAGTGTATATATGTCAATCCAGTCTCCCAAGCAAGTTGCTTTTTAAATGTTTGTGTTTATGGTATTCTCTGTCTTCTTTCTGATAAACCTTAGTTGTCTGTTCATGACTAGAACAAATAATTCTAAAAAGGTTACTGGAAACTCTGAATATGTGCATATTGTCCACATGACATGTGAGCTTTAATGTAGGCTTCTCTCGGTGGGTTATTTATTATTAACTGGTCAGATTTTCTAGAGTATTCCTGATCTCCTGCCTGGAGAAAAAAGATCTGCTGACCAGCATTTTGGGAGCCCAATGTGAGAAGAAGGCTGGGACTCATTGTTGGGGGTGGAGTGTGTGTGTGTGTGTGTGTGTGTGTGTGTGTGTGTGTGTAAGTAACCTAATCCCTTGGTTTTGGTACTGCACCTATGCCTTCATCTGTGCTAGCTCATAACCTCTCCAGGGGTTAAACCTCAAATGTTCTGCCAGGGGAGTGTGGAGTGGGGAACGGATCTAGAGACCTGATTGTTTCTTAAGATAACTGTCACCCAATTCTCTTTATTTTGGTTCCTCTGTTCTTACCCTCACTTCCAGAAGTACCCAGAACTGCCCGTTTCTAAGTTTTGGGTTTTTTCCCCTGAACATTCTGCCGCGTGATTTGGGTTAGCTGTCAGCCTGACAGTCGCAGCTGTAGGATTCACCTTCCTTGGCTTTGCCAAGACAGTTGCCTCCAGTCCATCTGCTTCCACCATCTAAAACTTTGTGGCTGTTTTTCTCTTTGGATCTTGTCCTAGTGGATTATGTCTTTAAAACAACAGTCACTTTTCCTTTGTTGCTTAAGCTGTGCAGTTGAGCAGGACTAGTTGTCTATGTTCAAACAGCCGCCTTCACACGGATCCCCTGCCTTCTTTCTTGCTGCATATTTCTTCAGCATGTGGAGGCATTAGAAGTTAAAGGGTCATCTTGAGAGATGTTTTTTTTCTTGAGCTGCCGTCTTGAGAGATACTATAGAAAATACCTGTTTTTAAACTATATTAACCTACACTTGTTAGTACTAAATTTTACGTTGTCAGTTTTTTTCTCCATATTGTTGCTTTGTGGTATAAAAATGCCACTGTAACGTAGCTTGAATGATGGCAGTCTTGTCAAGCATCCAGTGCTGTGTCTGACATTGGATTCCAAAATCTGAAATCTTTTCTCTCTCAGCCGTAAAGTGTACTTAGTTTTACAGCAGTGAAAGAAAACTGTCTCTAAGAAATATTTGTCCTTTTATTTGGTGGTTCTCAGGCTTTAGTGAGCATCAGAAGCGCTGGTTGGCTTATTAAAACAGATTAAACCAGAGTTTCTGATTCAGTAGGTCCGGAACAGGGCCCAAGTTTTGGGGGTTGTTTTTTTAATGTTTCTGTATTTATGGGCCTGAGATTGTGAATTCCTAACAAGTGATGCTGATGCTGGTGTGAGGGCCACACTTTGAGACTGACTGAAGCAGACTGTATGAGTGCTTGAAAACCAGAACGCCACCACCAAGAACCCCCAGTAAAGCTTTACTTCATTATCTTCCAGTTGGACACTTGAGAAGAGCTTTGAATTTATGCTGTGATCGCTCTCTTTGCCTAAAACATACGTTTACTTGATCGTCTTGATCGAGACAGTAGGTCTCACCATTTAAATTGATGAATCCTTTCCTTTGGTCCACTGTTATTCCTTTCTTTCTTTCTGAACTGCCTGTTTAAGATTTTGTCCTCGTCTCCCCTTCTTCCTTCCCTCCTTTCTTGTGGTGCCTGCAACTCTGTGATGCGGCAGAAGTTGGCTGTCAGGGTGAACTCTCATGTAGAAGCAAGTCTGCATTGAGGTCGGTCACGTGGGATCTGCCTGCTCTGGGTTGGTAACGTGTTCATAGCATGTTGGGTGTAGTTATTTAAACATGGAGCCTTACCATTAAGGTTGTGCATACTCGCATGTAAACACAAACATTAATGTCAGGCTGTCTTTACTAGTTAGTAATTTGTGTATGCCTATACCAGGAAGCATACACTTTTTAGAATTTAATTGAAAACTTTGAATAATTAATTTGGCAGGAGAAGTGTTACAGTTATTGGTTCTAAGTGGATCTCTGTTCATTGGGAGCAACTGTCTCTCTTAAGTAAGGTGAAGAGATTGGCAAAGAAAACTTCAGTTGAATCAGGGAAAATGGCCTTTTATCCAGTTAGGTAATTTAATCTGACAGAAGCAGAAATCGTTTTTAGGAATGTAGGTTTGACACTGGGATGGGGAGGTGTTAGCATCCTCCGTGAGCAGCGTTATAAATTGCCTTTCTACTTCATTACTCTCTATCAGTGTGGCGTGAAAAGCATTGGAACTGTTTTACTGTTGGGTTTAACCTAGCACAGATGTTTTTGTTTCTTTATGCTGGTTAAATTACAGTACAAAGTGCACTGTTTGATTCACTAAGTCATTTCTGCAAATCTTTGGTCACATTTATATGGTCTCCAGTCTTTGGGTTCTACTGAGGGACAAGCCCTGAGGAGTAAGCCAATAGGAGATTTTTCCTGTTTGTAATAGTGTCCTTTTTTTTTTTTTTTAATGGTATGACTGTTTCAGGGCTATATTTTTTAAAATAAAAGATAGCTTCAGCAGAATTAGATAAGTAATCTCTTAACCCAGTAAATGTCTTTAACATCTTTTCCCTTAATAATTGCTTTTTATATGATTAATGGCTCCCATAAGGTAACAGTATTTTCTAACCAAATGGGTTCTCGTATATTTAGAGAGATTTTTCCCACATTGTGTATTTCTGTGAATGGCATAAGTAGAAAAGCACAGACTGTTAGCTCCATGAAGACAGGGACTTTGTTTTGTTCATCACTCTGTTTCTAACACTAAGAAAGGTATTTGATATGCAGTTCTCAGTAAATATTTGTGGAATGAAGGAAAGAAACCAGTTTAGAGTTCAGCACCCTGCATTACTTAATGAATGCCACAAGGTGGTACTGTTGTAGCATGAAATAAGAGGCTGTAATTCTTAGCCTCTCTTACATAGTCTTATATAAATCCTATGAATGAACAAAATGAATTGACTACCTGTTATGTTTATTGCCTGTTTCAGATATTTATGGTTTTAGCATGTGATTAGTCTTTTGAGTCCATGATTTGGCCAGGCGGTGAGATTATAACCTAAATAAAGAACATTTGGTTCAATATTTTTTTTTTTTTTTGAAACTTGGAGTGAGTTTTATTAATTAATTTATTATTTTTGCTGTGTTGGGTCTTCGTTTCTGTGCGAGGGCTTTCTCTAGTTGCGGCGAGCGGGGGCCACTCCTCATTGCGGTGCACGGGCCTCTCACTATCGCGGCCTCTCCTGTTGCGGAGCACAGGCTCCAGACACGCAGGCCCACTAGTTGTGGCTCACGGGCCCAGTTGCTCCGCGGCATGTGGGATCCTCCCAGACCAGGGCTCAAACCCGTGTCCCCTGCATTAACAGGCAGATTCTCAACCACTGCGCCACCAGGGAAGCCCTGGTTCAAATTTTTATCAAATGTTAAATGAGATAGCATCTATTAAAACCTAGCACAGTATCAGGTTAGTTTCATTTTCTCGCCTTTAATTTATTTTGGGTTAAAAACCTTTGTTAAATTTCTCTTTGTGTTAAAATAATTTGCCAAACATTTTCTAATAAGTTATCACTGAATGTTAAACGATATTTTGTAAGTCTGTTTTGATTGTCAGAAGATTTTAAAAATTGATACCAAACCTAGATTTTACTGTATTATACCCCCCACTGCAAAAAAAAAAAGTTTAATTCTGCTCCATGGTTCTTTTATAAGGCTGAAATATTTTAACATAGTACTACATATTTGTGCATATATGATCACAGTGTATAAATAAAGTCAGTCTATAATTTGTCTTGATTTCACTCCTATTATAAAAGTGTTGACAGGTTTGTTTTATAGCTTGGAATTTTAAAATTTCCTTATGATGAAATTGACTTCTGAATATTTTGATTGTATAATTTTCCACAGACTGAAGCAAAATCAGAAGAGGGCCCAGGATGGGCTATCCTACGTGATAATTTCATGATGGGAGCATCCATGAAAGACTGGGACAAAGGAAGTGATGGAGCAGATGACAACAGACCGGGGTCTGGAAGTGACTCTGACACATAAAGCTATATAAGAAACACAGTTTCCATTTTATTTTTCCTAGAAAAATACTCGTGCTCTGAAAGTTGGGAAATTATAAAGATACCATTTGTAAGAGAGCCAAAAGACTTTCACTATTATCAACTTTGGTGTTTCTCTTTTTCATGTAAACTTGGTTAAAATGATATTTCAGACCTTGTATAATTTTAAGCATTGTTCTTTAGAACGTTTGTAGAAATATTTCTACTTGAGATATGCATTTTGCCAAGTTCATTATAGGCTTACCTGTTGCTTTTGGATATTGGTGTTTTATTTAAGTATCACCAAGGGTTGTAGAAATGCAATATCAATTCATAATTAAAATGAACTCCTTGAAGTTAATATTTTTCAGCCTCTAACTTACAGACCTATATATGTATATTTTTTGTGGGGAAGCGTTGGTGTGTTTTTTTTGGTGAGCTATTGAGAAAAACTGTAGCAAATTTTTAAATTATAGCATTTCTGATTTGGGGTGATGATTTTATTTTTAGACACTTTGGCAATTATGATTTAAGAAACATCAAATTTCTACTTTTATATTATTTCCTTTTATATGCTAAGTAATATATATAAATAATGGCTTAGATTTATTTTAAGTGTTAGGTTATTTTTGTATGAGAGATTTACTGAGGTGGAAATTCTCATATTTAACTTATGCAATGAGGCATAATTTCTTAGGAAGCATATTTGACATGTTCTAGTTTCTCTTATTTTCCCTAAATATTTGAGTTAGCGTAAATTCTTTTTTTATGGACTGGCTGACCAGTGAAATGGTAGTTAGACAACAGATAGTCTGCATCTGATTTGAGACTTGATTTCTTATAGTTGTCTTAAAGATTATTAAATTGGATGACTTTCAGAATCTAGGTGTTAAACAAAAAGATAAGAGAAAGCAGGGCTATTTAATATCATTCCGAAATTTCTGTGAAACTGGGCCTAAGATGCAAACTTTGTAGGGGAATTATTTAATAAAAGTGATCTGTTCTTTTTTAAAAGGGTCCATCCCTTACTCCATCTTTCCACAGTAAAAATAGTTCCCTCCTACTACCAAATTGCACATGCTTGCATCTGTTATATATCGAAGGATAATCCTCCCCTCAAAACTGTGCTAGAGCAGAGACGTTTATATTTGCAAACCCATTTGGGTGTTACAAGTATTATGTAACCAAAGTTAGATTAGTCCATGGCCTGGTATTTGTTATCCTAAAGGACGGTATACATCTAAGATATCAAATGATTAAACCAGCAGAGCTCAAAGTACATTTTTGTATGTATCCAAACTTTTGAAATTTAGTGTCTTCTTAAATTATAGAACTGCTATTTTGTCAGTGTAATATAAGTAAATGTGAGCAACTAGTCCTCAGTAGTAACATGAGCATGCTAAACATCTCAGTATAACTTAACACAGATAAATATTTCAATACAGCCTCACACGTAGATAATTTTGAGAAACAAATTTGCAGCACCTAAAAACTTTTATCTTCTCAGAATTAAAGATTTTACTCTTTTTTTTCCTGCTATTAATCTGTTTCTGAATCATATTAAAGCTTTGCAAAAATTCTTCTGAATAAGACATCAGGTGATAGAAATGGGTAAATAACTTCTTGTTTAGTAAAAAAGTTGTTTTTTAACATAAACTTATCATATAGTCATTAGTTTAATTTAGAAAAATTGAGCAAGATTTTCAAACTGAAAGGAAGGAAGAGAATATTGGCAGATTTTCTTCTTTCAGAAATCATTTTATTCCAAAATAAAATTGAGTTGCTGCTATAAGAAAAAAAAATCACTTATGTTAGAAGGTGTAAAGCATATGTAAATCACGTGAAATAATTTTTGTCATAAAGATAGGATGTTTTATATGTATTAATATTTCTGCATATTGGCAATCAAATATTTAAGCAAAATACCACCATATATGAATCTAAGGATGAGCATATTATTTTAAAAACTCTGTATCTTTAGATGGATGTTTTAAATAATCTAGCTCTGTCATCTCTACCCTAAATATTTTACCTACAACATTTATTTATTTATTTATTTTAAAAATTTATTTATTTATTTATTTTTGGCTGCGTTGGGTCTTCGTTGCTGCGTGTGGGCTTTCTCTAGTTGTGGCGAGCAGGGGCTACTCTTTGTTGTGGTGCGTGGGCTTCTCATTGTGGTGGCTTCTCTTCTTGCGGAGCACAGGCTCTAGGCGTGCAGGCTTCAGTAGTTGTGGCTCGCGGGCTCTAGAGTGCAGGCTCAGTAGGTGT